GTTTTTTTGTGAATATTGGATGCGGATAAAAAGGATGAAGGTTGAGGAGGTCGCCTGACCGATAAGCGGAGTTTATTTAATTAAAAATTTCATACCGATTATTGATAAAATGACATTATCGACCTACGTAGAAAACGTTATAAGGTACTAAAGTAAACGAAAGTTTATTTGCTTTGAAATGTGTTAGGAAAATTGAACTTTCGTTAAGATAAACAGCAGCTACATCGATGGCCGCATCTGTCGTTTAATGGATATATCAAATCACCATACATATACAGTCTCCGATTCCGATGGGTCGCATGACATGGGTGATAGCCTAACACGCATTTGTAGGTTGGGTCACGACAAGTCTCAGTGGGGTTTGAAATCTCCTAAATTATAACCAATCAATTTTCCTTATTTCTTTGTACGATGGATTTTCTGGGGATTTAAATGTAATATTGACATTAGTGGGTTAGCTGGCAAAATACGTATGATTCGCATGTGTCTTATTTACTGTCCATATGCTGTTCGGCGGTGTATTCCTGTATAATTTGCGATGCTAAACGCCGTTCTGGTCATATTCAGGGAATACATATAAATTAAGCAAATTCTGGCCACTATGAAATGTTTTCCATTCCGCGATGTTCATGGCTACTAACGTGAACAAACCCTACTACACGTGAAATCGATTTCAACTTTGGTAGCGATCAAGATATATGTTAGTCTCATCCTTATATCAAGCTTCCCAAACCATCACACCGCCAGCTGCCTAACAATCGGAAGAAGATGATTTGTCAACAAAGAATATCATCACACTACTGGCCAATATTACAGCTCTTGATAACCTGACCTCATTAAATGGAGACCGGAAGCCTTCGATTCGTCTGTATAGCTAAATTACCCAAGGACGTTGCCCACATTTGGAAAAAAATCGATCAGCATGAGGCCGGCCAACACAACTTGCCACTTTAAACTAAATTTCTGATCGATTAGGTGCAGTTTACGTTTTGACAATGAAGAGCCGACCCAGCTCTTTGAAACGTCGGCAGTTAAATAAACCTGTTCCGGAGAGCCAATTTTCTTCTTCTAGTATTTGATTCGTCTATATAGCTAAATGACTCAAGGACTTTGCTCGCAGTTTGAATGTCGTCGGGCGCTGTGCTCCATCACAGGAGGCTGATAAAACTCGTTCAGTGGTCCGCGGCTTTCTTAAAATTATCTCGAGTTCTCTTTCCTCAGACGTAATAAAAAGGGAAATTATTGCATGTTAAAGGGCCTCCAGGGCAACAACTTTGGATTCCCAAGCTATTCACTAAAGCACATTTGGCTTGACGGAGAACCTATGTTCCTGATTTTTTAATCAGCGGCCGATGATCTCCGTCTATTTTTATTCCCGCGTATCATCCATTCAACGCACAGTCCTTTTTCATTAAAAAGTGTTATACATGGACCTGTTATATATATATATATATATATATATATATATGTTATTTATGTGACCGGATAGCAGACCACAGTTGACTTCAAGGCTGCGAGTTAGTTGCCAAGAGGACTTTATTTGGATGTTCACTGAAAAAAGCTTTTTGAAATAGCATCAAAGACTGTTCTTAGACGACAAGATTACCAGAATAAAAAGGAACGTTGCCGCGCAAATCAGTTTTTGCATTGTCACTCGGCAAGGGAATTTTTTGCCAACGAGTGTTATAAATCCCCCTTCTGTGAGTGTCTTCAAGATACAACTGAATAATCATATTTTGAAAGGCAACCCGAACTCCCCAAGCCCGCTCTAGCGGATTACCGAAGCAACTGTAAAAATACTACTAGCAAATAATCAACAGATCAATTTTTGTGCATTAAACGTGACCCAGATAACAGTTTTGCGGGCGAATGTAGTGAACCAATTATTTTGCAGACATTTCTCCAATGCCAATTTTTTTCACAAAAACCGTCTCCAAACGTTAGATTTTCAAACTCTGTACGCCAGAATGACATAGAATATTTTCTAATTCGTCCGTCGATTTCGACGATGACCACCGTATGCCCCACAGACTGCATTGTGGGAGCAGGGACGGTGACTTGCGCAGGGGTTTATAGTGCCAGTAGACTTGCGCTGCATCTACCTACACTCTCTCCTCCTCCCCCGCCTGGGCCCGGTGTCAAGACAGAGTCAAGAAGACCGGAGACGAGGGAGGCCGCAGGTGGATGGCTCGGACGGATCCTCACCTTGGCGTTCCACCACACCCCCTGGTCCACACAACAATAACCAGGATTTCAACCAACACAACAGAGGCTGGCACGGCCGAAGCCGCACCTGGGCGTGCCGCCAACGCCTGGCTCGCATCCCACACTGTGGTGGGAATGCCATAAGGCCACATTAAAAAGGAGCCATTGCAGCCTGACTCTCAGACCGCCTCCCGTTAAGGAGGAGGTCCAAGGTATCCCGTCAGTTGGCAACCTTCCAAGCCACGGCTTTTAGCGCACCGTGATAGCTTCAAGCGCGTCAGATTGCTTATAGTGAGGAAAATGCGCTGAGTCGTCGACCTCACTCTCCCTTCCCATTCCCACACCCCAGCCACTGTCCGAGCCGGTCAGTAGACTGGAGTGGGGAATGGGCGCGGTGGCTGACATGGTCGACTGACCATGACTGCGCGCGCCACAGCACGACCTGGCCCCCCATACACACAAACACCAGGATTTCACACAACGGGGGTAGAACGGCGTGTCTCCGACTTGGGTGAGAGGGCCGTGGAAGGTGCTGCTTCAGCCCGTCCCCAGCCCACCAGTCCGCCACAACACAACACACACACAACGTGACGAACTGCGTGAACCGAGAGCGGGCCTCAATCAGCAACCTTCCTATCCACGACGCTTGACGTGTCGGGATAGTCTCGGACACAAGTCACCCGTGCAGCCGAAGCCGCATGGAGACCGAGT